TTCGTGTTGTTGCTTCTCCATTTGCGCAGATTGAATTTTCCTCGCTGGAGCAATTCCATTAATTCTTGTTGCAATCGACATGCCTCCTCTACAGTGTGCGTCCCCGTGAGCAGGTCATCCATATAAAAATCACATTGTAACACCTTTGCAGCTGTAGGATGAGTGTCAGCCTCTTGAATTGCTAACTCCTTCAAACATCTGACCGCTAGAAAGGGTGCTGAAGAAGTACCATATGTTAACGTATTCAAACGAAATATCTGAATTTCTTCGTTGCTATTTGACCTCCATAAAATTCTTTGAAGATCTCTATCCTGTTTTCTCACAAGGATTTGTCGATACATCATTTCTAAATCAGCAGTTAATACATATTGATGCATTCTAAACTTTAGTAATAAGTCACATAATGTATCTTGCAACTGAGGCCCGACTAATAGTTTATTGTTCAGCGACACTCCTGATTCTGATAGAGCTGATGCGTCGAACACTACTCTCAACTTGCTAGTTAATGCACCGCTTTTTATTATAGGATGATGTGGTATGTAGTAAATATCTTGCGGACTCTTCGATGCATTTTCTTCAACACGTGACATATGCCCCAATAGTTCATATTTTTCCATAAATTGAACATATTCCAACTTCAATTCTGGTTGTCGTGCAAATCTGTTTTCCAAAGTATAGCCTCTTCAGCGCTGTATTATACGAATCTGCAAGCTTTATATCTTCTCGCTGAGGCAGTCCTACTACGAACCTACCTTCTAAATTCCTTTGCATTGTTGCTTTAAAGTGCTCCTCACACTTTTGCTCCTCTGGTGAGTAATGCCTTTGTTCGATAATTTCTTCGGATTGCCAGAATTTCTCCAGCTGCCGGCTTAGTTCATCATTCGTTAGTAGATTGCACATCATGTTATGGTCGCTTGACGACTCCAAAACATTTCCTCCTAATATCCAACCTAAAGAAGTGTTCTGTATCCGTGGTTGTCCAGGAAGTAACTTTAAATGCTCGTCCTTAATAATTTGCCAAAACATTCCGGCTCCGTTTAATAAATCAATGGCTCCCGGATTGTGGAAGTTTTCGTCCGCTAGCTTCAAATGATTTGGTATCTGTAATGTAGAAATATCAATAGGCATCTGAGGTATTTGCTCTGTGATTCTAGGCAACACTAAACAATTTAGCTTAAATCTTGTTTTGTTATATTTGGCTTGTACTTCAATAATTACCGATTGCCTCACATATGTTTTAGTTTGATTGATACAGCTAACTGGAACGTTTACAGATTTACTTGTTAAATGTAATTTATCTGCTAAAGCCTTCGTAATTAAATTGGATTGCGATCCAGGATCTAGAAGCGCTCTACAAAGATGTCGCCTTCTATTGGTATCAAAAATATATACTTGCGCTGTAGACAACAATACATGCTGCGAATTTTTTGCACAATACGTGGATACTATGTTGCTTGGATTGTCTTTATTCACTTCATCGGGACTTTTGTTTTCTTTCTGATTTTCTATATGGAGAAGAGAATTATGCTTGCCTTGGCAAACCTTACAGCCTGACGATTTACATTCTTTACTCCAATGCCCTTTCCGCAGACAGTTCAAACAAAGTTTCAATTGCTTTATTTCGTTAATGCGTGATGGTACTTGTAACTTCAATAGCTTTTCACAGTTAAATATGCGGTGATGACCTTTACAATAATCACATTCATTGTTACTTGTAGAAGCTAATGACAACGATTTATCTTGCTTTTTCTCATTGTGTTTACGTGCCTCAGCTCCCGATTTTTCCTTTTCTATCATTTCAAGCATATGGTATCTTCCTGTTAGGAATTCAAGCAGCTCATCAATTTTTGGCAGTTCGTCCTGCCCTTTGGTAGTAATATGCGTTTCCCACTCTTTGTGCGTGTGATAATCCAACTTATTTGCCGCTACAAATACTAAGACTGCATCCCATTTGTCTACGGGCAGTTTCAACGTAGCTAATGCTTTAATGTGTGATCTTACGTGATTTACAAATTGCCTTATGCTTTGCTTGTTACATTTAACTATTGGCATAGTTTCAAAAAGTTCCTTCAAATGTTTATTAATGATAAGTCTTCGATTCTCGTAATGATTGTTCAACAACTCCCACGCTGTACGATAATTCTCAGCCGTGGTTTCCAATCCTTCGATGAATTGTAATGCTTCATCCTTCAGCGTGCCTCGAAGATATTGTAACTTCTGAACTGCTGATAGCGTTGTGTCTCTGTCTATTAATGAAAGAAACGAGTCTTTGAACTGCATCCACTGACTATATTGCCCATTGAACGTTGGCAATGTGATCGTTGGTAATTTTACACTGGATTTCACTGTCAGGGTCCTTCCTGCTGCTGCCACTGTCGCAGATTCATTTACAGGATTTACTTGTGCTAATCTTCTTTTAGCTATTGACACTAGCTTAAAATAATTGTCTTCGAATTCTGTGTCTTCATCGTTTTCTTCTCGTTCTATTCGCTCTAATTGATCCTGATCTTTTTCTTCTGAAAGCCCCTGTTTACGTACCTCCTTTATGGCATATTGAAGGTTATGAAACTTATCCCAGACTTCTTTTAGCCTTTCAAGTCTGTCAGAAATTTCATAATCATCGGCTTCTCTACACTCAAGAAAATTACTGAATCGCGTTAATTGACTCTTAAACTGACCTCGCTTAATCCTTAAGCTTTTGTATTCAGCCATTTTGTGTAGCAACTGCCAACGTTTGCTATTACAATGTAAGGAAAAGAAAAAGAATTGAGGTTAGGATAAAGGAAGCTCACTTACGTGCCTTTGAATGCCTGTTTATTTGCTGCCGCCTGCGCGACTACCAATATGTTTCAAAAATGTTCTTGATTTCGTCTAAA